TTCCTCTCTTATTTATTTTTTTTTGGTGACTGAGACAATGCACAGTGTTGATCCTAACATGGTAAATTGGTCAGTTCCTCTGGGATTAAAAAAAAACAAAACAGTGTACAGAGAGTACAAGCAGGTATAAAGGATTCTATTTTGGAGAGAGGACAAAGAGTGAAGAGAAAAGATTATTCATAACAGGTACTGGTGTGTCCCGACCACGTCTGCTGTCTAATTGTACTGTTAACTGCCTGTTTTCCATCTACGACAAATCAGTGTCTTCTTATGGGATATGAAAAGTGCAAATGCAACACACATGAAAGAAATAGCTCACAGTTTTGGAAAATCTTGCGCAAAGACTTATAAACACGACCAGGACAGAATTAACAGGACTACTTAACAGTAATTAATTCCAGAAATAAGACCAATAAGATACCCTGTGAACTTTTCTCTAAGTGTCCTTCTTCCTACAAGAAGGCTTTTCCACCATAACTTTTCCCAGGCCATACCCATCATCAAATCCCATCTTCTTGTGTTTCTCTGACCACGTTTTGAACTATGGCATGCAAGACTGTTGAAATGTCAAGAAAAGGAGCGAACTATAGCATCCACTCCGAATACAATGTCTAGCACAAACTACACATTTCAAAAAGTTGAAGGAAAACTTTAAAGTTTTACAGTTTTGATATTCTGAAAGACAGAGAACCCATTTTTCTTGCTGTTGTGTTCAACTGATTTTGCCATCTACTAATAATGGACCTTATGTCACATTTTGGTATCTTTACTGTCATAAAAAGTCTTCAATAGCTAGCACTTTCTTCTTATGAAGGTATTTACATATAATATTCTTTCTGGTACCTTCAAAAAGATTTAAACCTTTAAGTTCCTTTTAAAGCATTTTCTCGAGCTCTAAGTTAATCTATTCAGCCTGTCCCGCAACCTATGGCATTTTTAAAGCCCTTTTCAAAATGTGGCCACCAGAAGCAGATCCAGCATTTCAGCACTAGCCTCATCGGTGCCACACTCAGATGGAAAATCACCTGTTCCTACCCTCTACCATTCCTGTTTATACTCCTAACAACCAAATTAGCTCCTTGTGCCATAGAATCGCAGCAGAAGATCAATGTGAATTTTTTATTCCCCGACTTCTAAATCTTTTCCAGAGTTGCTTTTTTCATAACACAGTCTGCTCTGGCCTGCATTTCTCAAGTAATAGGAACAGGTCTCTGTCCCTGCCTTGCCATATTTTTTAGTATTTCAACACTTTCGTGTCACTTGGACATCAGTAGTGATTTCACAGTTTCTTCCATAGCACTGAAAAAAGTACTCAGTATTGCCGAGATATGTCCCAAACCTCACAGAACACTTAAAAATATCACCTTCCTGCCCCGGGATGGTTCCCAGAGAACCACCATTCCCAGATAGATTTTCAGCAGCCATCAAAGTCTTCCCAGCACTCTCTTGGAACTCAGCTATAAACCATGAGAGCCTAATAGATATTAAAAAATATCTCAGTTGGTTATTAAGAGGTTTGCAAGCACATCCCTTCTCTCATCTGCTTTGAATAAAAAGGATATTTTTCTCTAAAAGAAATACAAATACATTTTTGAATGTTTCTACTTTGACCATGTGGTTACTCATGATGTTACATCCTCATTATTTTATTCTTAGTCTGCTGCAACACCATCCTCTTACCCATATTCTTGTCAGCTTACTTGCCAGGCAGCTATCTTATGTCCTTAGCATCTTATATCAATCTTCTTTGCTTTATAGCTTCTGATTTACTGTTTCCATAGCAATCCTTCAGCCTTTTTATTTATGGTGATATTTTTTCATTTGCCTTCAGTTGCCATTGGTGCTCACTGGATAACCCATATTTGATTCAAACTTAATTGATTCTTCCATTGTAAAATGTTAATAAATTCTTGTTCAAGATGTTTTTATTTACCTGAAAAACCCTAAACAACAACTTTTTATTTTGCGATCTGAAAACTGAGCCCAGTGTGTACCTAGACCATTAATTTCACAGAAGTACAGAAACCACGTGCTGGACTAAGGATTGTTATTTTGAGATTGCATTTAAACCAATGAAAAGGAATGTACTGTGATTGCCGAACATCCATGAGAATGTTTCTCACTCATCACATTAATAATATTTACTTTGTCCCCTCCTTTTTCAAACATTACTTTTGTCCTTTCATATAAAATACTCTAGGCTTTTGTCACAGGTCAAACATGACATTTTTCACAGTGTGTTCTACAAGGCCCAGCTCAGCAGCAGAACTAAATCCACATTAGTACCAGTGTCACTAGTGGACAGAGCCATGATTTATTAAGCAAAGGGGAGCATCAAGGACTAATTGGCCTCATGAGGACACATAAGCATGCAAGAGGAACACATTAACAATGGAGAACATGTGCAAAGGTAGCCTGCTCCCCTGGCATGTCCCAAGGCATAAGATAAATGGCATTATTAACAGATCTGAGACACAAGAAAAGACGTATGAATTACACATGCAGATTCCTTCTTCCTCAAAATAGTATCCTGGACAGAAACATTCCTGCATGAAATAACGCAAATTTTATATAGTTTGAGAAGATAGCATTTAGTAAATTAGAAGGTAAGATAATGTCTTTATGTTAATTTCCTTAGAGTAAATTTAATATATCTGTGATTACAACTTTTCATCACCACCACACCGGAGACAAAATGCGGTTCGTTTCCAACATGTTCAACATGCTTAAAATACTGGAAATATATCTTTTGCAATATGCCCATAAAGGAGTATGCTTATAGGAGAAACCATAGAATCATAGAATTCACCATATAATCAATATGCACATTTCTCTAAGGACAATAAGATAATTTTTGAAGTATTAGGGAGAGCCAGTGGACATCTGCATGCATCAGGGAACCATGCTTCAAAAGATCTGGCTTGGTATCCTCAGCAACAGCTGCAGATATAATGCTAATAATATTGTAAAATAAGGCTTTACATTTCAAAAGAGCAACTTTTTTTTTTAACTGTCCTTGATCTCTTATCATACCATATTTAGTAACAGCCACCAATGTAATCCTCCAATGTGACCTACATATAGAATTAGAAGACACTCTCAACAGCGGTGTGCTGGACAAGTAAAAGCATAAGGAAGCGAGGGAAGAAACGCACCCAAACTCCCCCCAGACTGGAACACACGGATTCCACAGAAAACTACCCTCCCAAATGTGAGCTGTAACTTAGTGTTTGGTTAGATTTTGTCCACCAGAATACAGAGGTAGTATTCACTAAAATTGCAATGTACTCAGTGTGGAGCCTGCAGTGTATGCACATGATGGATGATTGTTCCACAAGTTTCACTGAAGTAAGAAATGAATACGAACTCGCAGTGTGTGCAAGTTGGTGCCCACAGAAAAGTACAAATTGAGATTAGAGTTCAAAACAATAATCTGAATCTATTTTCGTTACGTGCAAATGCAAACCCATTTGTTTTGTTGAACTGCTCTGCCCTCTGTAACACTCAAACACTACTTTGGAAGAACTTCAGCCTGGGAACTCTCTGCAGTTTAGATTAAGAAAATAATAAGATTGCTTTTGTCATTTCTGTCCATCAGGAAGGAGCCTCATTACCTGGTAGGCTTGTAATATGTTGTTATGCCAGTTGTATTTTATTATCATTGATTTATCCATAAAGCTAATGCAATTATGGCCGTTTAAATATTATCCTTCAACTACTTACTTGTCTTCTGGAGAGAAAGCAAGGCATATCTGAATACAGATCAGTTGATTTTGAGGTTAGGTAGTGAGTTAAATGGACAAATGTGGTTCTTTTTACTGCTTGTGGTTCTCCCACAAAAATAAATCAGAGCAGCCTTACAGTATAGTCTACAGCAAGTGCGAGACACAATAATCCCAGTGGCAATCAGAATTTAATGGATTTGTATGCTTTGAGTTTCCACTGGAGCTTTCCATGTATACTCAGGGATCAAATATTTTTACCCCTTAGACCACAAAACACAGTTCTTCATAGGAGAAGAACAGCCTAGAACAATTTCCAAGATGTTCTGTGAAATTAGGCATGTGAAAAAACAAAAAGTAAATTTTATTTTTACTTCAGACAAATCACAGAAGAGTAATATAATAGATAGTTTTTATTAGCAAGATTGTGTACTGCCATTTGGACACCTAAATATGAGAACCATGGGTGCAATCAAGCTTTTCAAAGGCTTGTGACAGGAATGTGGTGTGGAAAGATAAAGAAAACCCATGTTCAGCATAAAGACCATAGAGATAGACAGTGTTAGCTAGATGTTTGATCCAAGTAATTTTAAAACATTCAAAATTATCTTAAATAGCTTCAACCTTTGTTTCTGGATAGAGGGAGGCTTTCTCCAGCTTTCCTAATATGGCTTTTGCAGGCCTGAAGATTTATGAAACTCTAGATATTAAACTGGCCAAACCACCCATTATGGAGTTCACTAATGTTTGAAGAAAATGGACTGTTGAGGAAAGAGGGAAATACTTCTCTATAAATTTTCTGAAATAGTGAAAAGGGAATGGCAGCTGTTTGAAAGATACACCTAAATTTCACAAGCAATGAATAACAAAGCACGTCAAAAGCACGTTGTTCTGTAATTTGGTCTAAAGATCATCAGAACTCATACAGCAGAAATGCTGACATACACGTACACACATTCCCTCTAAGGCCAACGTCAGCTCTACATTTATAGACTAGTTTAACCACAGAAACAGTGGAATTTATTTCTACCACTGTACTTGGCACCTGAACATCAAAGTAAAGCTGTGTTCAAAAAGAAGCACTGCATGTTCAAAATCCTTTCTTTACATAAAACCTTGTTTTTATTGGACATCAGTGAGTCAAAGGCAGATGGCTGAGCTAATTTTAGTTAGGGACAGATACAATCCACCAGCGGCCAGGGTAATCAAGGGTAGCCAAGGTTATGAGCCCTAGGCAACAAATTTATTTTACCTCATATTCAGATTCCAGTGTCACAGTGTTGTGTTTTAATTTTTCTTTCAAAGCCGGATCAACCTGCAAGACAAACAAAAAGACAACAAAAATGCTTCGTTTTAAGAAGAAGTCTTTACCTCAACAAAACATTGGTACATGCAATTCCTCTGCTCCTCTAAATGAGTTTATGTGCTGTCTGTTCAGATACCGGGTATAAGACCCAGTACAAGAATGGAGCTGAGGAGAGGCAGATCAACAGCCAAACCTACCAAATCAAAAAGCAAGCACACGTGTAACTAGCCATGCACCTGCATTACCTTAGATACTTAAATTTGCAACTGTTTAGTTTGAAACTGCCAAACTAAACAAACCCTTAAACAAACGAAACAAGAAAGACCAAGAAAGAGAGAAAGTTGTGATCACATTACATACTTTACTCCTGAATGTTGTGTTCAGTGAATAGATACATAGTATATTCTGGTTTTCAAAGTCTTAGCATGAGTAAAACTTCCATTTTTCTGGGGAACACACACCTTTCTTAGTTTTGATTGTTTATCAACAATTCCTGCCACCTTTCAGAGAAGTTTGTTCAAAGAGGAAATCAAAGAACAGACACATCAGTGAAGTGCAGCAGATGTATTCCCTGTGTTAAGTTCTTCTGAGCTCAGAAGAAGTTATGTTCATCCCTCCCTTTGCTAAGTAACATCTGTCTCTAACAGACCTAAGAGTAGAGGCAAAGGGGGAAAAGATAATTAGCATTTTTCATGCTTAGAGAAAGCATTTTATGTTCTCCTCAAACAGGCATCAGCCATATGTGGAATATTCAGACATAGTCTTTAGGCTAATCAACAAAATTATCAAATAAATCTACCATGAGAAAGTATTCCCATTTTTAGACCTTAAATGCAACTAGTGCTAAACCAGGTGTGTAGCGAGAGGGCTCAGTTATCTTCACCAGAACCAACCTCAAGTGTTTTTAAGCAGTCTAGAAAAGAAAAAGGAGGGAACACACCTTACAGAATTTCCCAGTGAGAAGATCCACCCTCAGCTTCTGCCCCAAGACAAGCTCCTAATCCTCCGAGGTACTTAAAATACACACTTATTATCTGTATTAATGGGAATCGCTCTGAAGAATTTCCCTAGGCCATAATTCCACCCCCCCTCAATTACAGACACTGCCTGCTAGTTACTTTCCAGCCTTTAATACTTCAATTCCTAAGGATGCTCAGGCAGGCAAGTCTAACATGATCTGTGCATTCCTCCATCTGACCAGAGATCTGGACACAGAAATACATCCATTTGCAATCTCCAGACTCGTTACACTTGGCAACTGTATTGGGTTGGCTCAGCCGGATT